TTTTTAATTTTCCTTCCACATACAACTAAAACAACTTTACGAGATATTACCAAATATCAGGCAAAATGGCGAACATAAACTAGAGTTATAACAGAAAATAACATGTATCCAATACTTATGCGTGTCACTGTAAATATTTTAAGACATTTTTATGTTTATACAATCTTTTTATAGATACAAATATTTAAGTAAATGCTCACACAGGGCCACAGAGGATCGTTCGGTTAGCAAGGTCGATTTTGCTGCTTTTAAACTAAAATCTTCCATGATTCTCTCATGTACATTCATAATTGCTCATGGTGTATCTAAATGTAAACAAATTACGTCATACATTATTGCTAACCGAACGCTCCTCTGTGGCCAAATCGGTTAAATGCACGTCATGCTATATGACGGTTCAATATAGGATACAGGTTCGATTCCTGTCGGAGGGCGAATATTTAATATGAAAATTTCTCGGACATTCAGGCCGGTAAATGTTGTTTAATACTGTTTATTATAAACAAAGAATGCACTTTAATATTTCTATCTATAATACGAATGTATAAACATAAAAATATCTTAAAATAATTATCGGACTTTGTCCATTTCATAATGTGTATATATATATATATATATATATATATGATGAATAAATTTAAAATTTTAGCATAATTATAGCAGAGCGCGTTCACGCAAGAACTATAGCGCCTTTCTTGATACACAGATGTTGCAAGGACACAGGGCACAGTGGATAAAGGAATTCTAACCACCTGAAGAAGGCCGGAGCGTACAAAGGCCGAAAAGTAATAAATATGTAAAGATGAGGACAATAGTCCGAATAATGTAAATAATGTACATAATACCTCATCTCAGAAATATAGACAGATACTGAAAGGCCAAAACGTTGTAATAAATATGGCGACAAAGATGAGGACAATGGTCCGAGTAATGTAAATAGTGTACATAATACCTCATCTCAGAAATATAGACAGATACTGAAAGGCCGAAACGTTGTAATAAATATGGCGACAAAGATGAGGGACTCATCCGAATAATGTAAATAGTGTACATAATACCTCATCTCAGAAATATAGACAGATACTGAAAGGCCGAAACATTGTAATAAATATGGCGACAAAAATGAGGACAATAGTTCTCAGAAATATAGACAGATACTGAAAGATTATCTTATTTATGTATACCAACATTTGGAATCTCATATTGAAGCAGTCATCGAATGATAATGGCAGCTTCATTAAGTAGATGCTCCGGAAAGGCTTTCAAAATTAATCATGTCAATTCTTTTCTCAAATAAATAAAGCTCTTCTTTTATGACTTTATGCTTATTTTGCTAAATTCATGCAAATGCTCTCAAAGAATTGATCAATCCTGTATATATATGTACATAATTTTATTCTTGTATAAATCAACTTCGGGGTAAAATCTACCCAGAAATCGACCAGTTCCTTTAGATTTTAGAAGGTGTTCAGTACCCGGTCCGGAGACCAATATAAGTAAATATTATGTTAAAAAGATTAAACAACCTCGCCTAGCTACTGGGGTTTCCACTCCTTGTATTTTGAGACTGTTTTGGTTTTATTTTTTTTATATATCTCGCGATTCTGGATCCAAATACACCGCTCCCAGTCGAACAAAAAATGTATATATCTTTTCTATTTAACCAAATAGGATTCTGTCTATGATTTCATCTACATGGAAATATTCCTGTCATTTTATATCTAACCCTTTACATGATCTATCTATCTATCTATCTATCTCTCTCTCTCTCTCTCTATATATATATATATATATATATATATATATATATATATATATATATATATATATATATATATATATATATATATATATATATATATAGTCTTTTTCTTTTCTGTTTATCTAAGAATGTGTATCCTCTTATTCTCACCCTGTCTCTCTCTGTCCATCTGTCTTTCTCTCTCTATCTCTCTCTGTCTTTGTTCATATATGTTTGTCTATCGCAGTTTGTTCATATCTATCTCAGAGTGTTCATCTCTCTCTCTCTCTCTCTCTCTCTCTATATATATATATATATATATATATACATATATATATATATATACACTGCTGCCAAATTATTATCGAGATAACTTTTTTATAATATTTCAAAATCCATCAAATCAATTCACACAAAATTTTATCGTACTGATCTGCGCAATGTAAACAAACTGGCACCATATTTGCTATCAGCACAGTGATTTGATCGTGCCAAATTATTAGAAAGGTTTAGTAAAATTCCCAGAATTGAGCAAACAATACGTTTATTAATGTTGCGCGTGAATGTTTATGATCAAAAGAAGCTAATAAATAATATAATCAAACAAATAATAACAGATACAAACAAAGGCACAGTTTTAAACAAATTAATAGGGAATGTGCTTTCCCTGTTTTGAAATTACTTGAAGAAGTCGACGATCCATAGAATTTGTTAATTGTAGGATGTCATCTGCTGTAATGCCGCGAGATATGTCAAGAATTGCTTCCCACAACTCAGCGTTGCTCCTGAATTGTCGTCCGTTGGCGTACAGTCTTCGCTTCATGATGCTCCAAATATTTTCGATTGGGTTAAAATCCGGAGAATTTACTGGCCACTTCATTTTCGGGGTCCATCGAAGCCTAACTGTTTCAAATATTCAGTAGTCTTGTGAGAAGCATGTGAGAGAGCATTATCTTGCATAAAAACAATGGCCCTTCTGAAGGCAACTCTTTGCCTTTTCATCCACGGTTCAAGATGCGCCTTCATAAACGCTATGTATGCATCAGCAGTCATTTTAATACCATCTGGTACTCTCCATGGGCCCACTAATGTTTTTCCAATAATAACACCCCAGATCATTATGCCTCTACCGCCTTGTTGGCGTCTCAAACACTGATGGCGATTCTGTCCGTTCATTATCCAGCCTTTGCACCACCTATCTGGTCCATAATGTGTTGCTCGAGTTTCGTCTGTGAACAAAACTTTCGAGAAGTCAATCTTCATATTGTCCTCGGCCCATTTCAATCGATTTTGAATGTGATTTCTCGTCCACGGAGGCTTTGATACAGGTTTGACTGTTGTTGCTATTCCCCTCAGATACCGACACCGAGTAATTTTAGACACAGTAGGATCCCCAATGCGACTGAAAAGCTCTTGGCTGGTAAGTCCAGGTTTCTTCGTGGCCTCTCGTTTAAGTCGTGACATGAGACGATGTGAAATAACCCTTGGCTTATCTGCCCTTTTGATTACTTGTGTAGGGTAGGCGGTGAACTTTTTTACTGTTTGATGACACCTCCCTATCATTTTAGAAATTTCTAGAATAGATTTACCTTTTGAGAGTTCTGTTTTCTTTCAGCATTACTTAAACTGCTTTTACGGCCTATCTTTTCACTAAATTCTTACACTTTTCTAATAATTTGGCACGCTCAAATCACCGTGCTGATAACAAATATGGCGCCAGTTTGTTTACATTGCGCAGATCAGTAAGAGAATTTCAGTGACTGCGCAAGTCAATGTTGCCAACATTGTGTGAAAATTTTGTGTGAATTGATTTGATGGTTTTTGAAATATTATAAAAAAAGTTATCTCGATAATAATTTGGCACGCAGTGTATATATACTATACATATATGTGTGTGTGTGTGTGTGTGTATTTGTTATTGTTTACTGGCATATCAACATTCTTATGGGTCATTTAATGCCGAAATTTAATTTTCTTGGGAGCATTTGTAATTTTTTTTAAAAAATACTTGCTTTTTTTTTTACAAAAATGTATTTATAGTAAGTTTTTTTTACTACGAAAATGTATTGCTGGTATTTTTACTCTTAAAATGTATTTTTATACTTTCATAGTTTCTAACGCAAGTTTGGGAGTTAACTATTAGTTGTGACCCTAACAGGTGTTACCGATTCGCGTCAGGTTGGATCTTGGAACAACACCAATTACGAGCTGGTTCTGTGCCTCTCAAAACATCGAATCCTCTGATTAGAGGCTTTGCTGCCGGATGCTATATATATATATATATATATATATATATATATATATATATATATATATATATAATTTTGTCATATAGCAAAAGAATTTACTCACTACAAAAGATGCAACTTCCTTTCGGTGCATTTAGTTGCACCTCTACTGATGAGAATCAAAATGGTTATGAACAATTCTGTTTGTAAGCAGGCCGCATGTAGATTTTCCACGTGTGGCCTGCATACAAACAGTATTGTCTATATGAAAAAAATTATAATAATTAATCATTGCTCTACTCTCGGTATTGAGCCCTCTTTTGAATTAATGCCGTGAACGCTAGAATTTCTATATTATTTTCGTTTAGGATATACATATATGTATATATGTGTGTGTGTGTGTGTGTGTGTGTGCGTGACAGGGAGTGAGAGATAGAGTTAAGAATTTAGTCGTCTCTACTTGTAACAGTACACTCTAGTTCTTGATTTCGAAATTTATATTAAATTATTAGTCCAAGTTTCAGATGCTCGCTCATGATCTCTTGTTGAAATGCTTTTTATTTCTATCAGAATATTCTATTTTGAAAGTGCTTTAACAGATCAGCCAGCAAAAGGTCATTAATTTCTTTGCTTATAACTAGGGGTACATATCTATGTGCTTGCTCACTGATTGCTCCATACTTTCGGCCTTGTACCACATCTAAGCTCAGTTTAGAAGATCAACATATGTATGTGTTTGCAACCGCACTTAGTTTGTCAACGCGAGGAAACTCGAAGAAAGACATTTATTTCGGCGTGCTGTTCACTGGAGTAGTTTGCTAAATTCATCAAATTTTCGATTTTCTTGAGTGGGCAAAATAAGCTGATAATCAAATAAATTGATAAATAAATTCCAATCTGTTGCCAGATATTTTTTCAAATTATACATTTATAGCCTATACTTTTTCGGAGTCATTTTTTATTCAATTTTAATATTTTATTTTGAGATAAAATGTTTTAGCTATCGTTTCTTATGTTTGTCATTTTTGATTATGTCACACTTTTTAAAAGCTTTTTTTTCTTTCTTTTCTAGATTTATCTTTAATTTACTTTGGTTTTCATTCATCTTCTTTTTCCTTTCCTTTTTCGATTTTCATATCTTCCTTCATTGTCTAATTTTTCTTTTGTTTTCATTGGTTTTTTCTCGGTTTTCACGCTTATCTTTATTTACGTTCTACATTTCTAATGGTTTTCTTCTTTTTCTTTTCTTCTTCTTCTTCAATTTTTTCTTAACTTATTCTCTTCTTCTTCCTCTCTTTCTTCTTTTTCTTCTTCATCTTCTTCAACATCAACTTCTTTTTTTCTTTTTCCTTCTTATTCTCCTTCTTCTGTTACTTCTTCCTCTTTTCTTTTTCTTCAACTTTTTTCTTCATTTTCTTCTTCTTCTTCTGACGTGTTCTTTTTATCAACTTTATTTTCCGAAATATTTCTCCTTCTTCTTCTTCTTCTTCTTCTTCTTCTTCTATTCTTTCTTCTTTTTCTTCTTCTTCAGCTTCTTTTTCTTCTTCTGCATCAACTTCTTTTTCTGTCTTCTGCATCAAATTCTTTTTCTATCTTCTACATAAATTTCTTCTTTTTCTTTTCCCTCTTATTCTCCTTTTTCTGTTCCTTCGTCCTCTTTTTCTTCAACTTTTTCTTCTTCCTTTTCTTCTTCTTTTTCTTTTTCATTTTCTTCTTCTTCTTCTTCATTTCCGCTTTCGTACGCTACCCTCTTTCCGTTTTTTGGCTTTCTTTTCCTTTATTATTACGTTTTGTCCCTTTTTACTTCCTTCTTAATTCTTATGAATCTTTTTATTCACATTATTTTTGTGTTTATCTTTTTCTCTCTTTATTATTTTATCACAGATTTTTTTAAATGTTTTATTCCTTTTTTATGCGTTTTTAATATAATTTGCCTTTCATTCATCTCCCTTTTTCCTTTCTTTTTTTTTCATTTTTGTAGTTCCGTTTTGTATTTAATTCTTTTTCATTTTCTTTGATTTTCTCAACATTTCATTCATCTCCTCCCGTTTTATTTCTTTTCCTTTCTTCTTTTTTCGTATTTTTCTCTCCTTTCGGTTTTTGCACTTACTTCTTTTTTCTTTTTTCTTTCATTCTTATTGCTTTTTGTTTCTTTTTATTTCTTTCTTAATTCTTATAAATCTTTTTACTCACATCATTTTTAGGCAAGTGTTATTAATTATTTTTTATTCATTTTCCTTTTTTCAGTTTTCTTCTTCCATTTATGTTGTTTTCTTTTTCTTTTTTTGTGCTCTTTCCTTTTTTTTCTTATTGATTTCTTTCTTAATTTTTATTCATTCATTTTATTTCTCGTTGTTATTTTTTTCATTTGCTATTCATTTCGTTTCCCTTTTTCATTTTCGTTTCGCTTTTCTGATTACCTTTTATTTCTTTCCCCATGTTTTATTTTCTATTTTTCTCTTTTATTCTTCCGAGGCTCGAATTCATTTCAACGCTTTATTCATTTTTATAAATCTTTTTTTTAATTCTCTTTTATTTAACTTTCAATTTGCATTTCTCTTTTTTCTTAATTTTTGATTCTATTTTACACATATATTTTTTTCTTTCACTTCACATTAACTTTCATTTTATTCTATATTTATATCGATCACTTTCATTCTTTTAATTTTCATTCTTTTAGCTTTTCTTCTATTTGTATTTTTCTTCGTTCTCTTCTTCAGTAATCTCATTCTATTATTTTTCGTTTTAATTATTTCGCTTTTTCATTTTTGACGTTTCTTTCTTTCTTTTTTAAGTTTTCTTCTTTCTTTTTTATAATTTTTCTTTCCTTTTTTGTCAGTTACTTTACTCTTCTGGCAAATATTCGGCATTTTTTGCTTGTTTCATTTATTTTTGGTTCTTTTAATTTAATTTTTCTATCCATGTGCATTATGTTTTAGTTATTTTCATTCAATTTCCCATACTTCATTAATCTTTCATTCTTTTTCACCCACCGATTTTCGTTATCCTTTGTTTTAATCATATGTTTCTTTCCTTTTTTTTATTCTTGTATGTTCTTATCTCTCTATATAAAACAGAGGATGTCTGTGTGTCTGTGTATCGGCTTGTTTGTATGTCTGTGTGATAACTTTCACTCGGGATCCGTCCAACCGATTTAGACCAGATGGGTAAATACATTGTACTCTGTAAGAGATAGGTTCTTAGCGTAAAAAAATGATTATTCAACTTTTTACCTCCGATTTCGTTCAAACTCGTTATGTAGGTTACTTACATCATGACGAGCTCAACGATACCTCATTTTTATTTCTACGTCATTGCGTTTAACGAAAAACCAAAAAACCGATTTCAACACAAATTTTAAACATAAAACTCCCTCAATTTTCAAGCAATCTAATACAAACTTCATTCACTTGTAGCCAACAATAAGTTGATTGTTTAACAGTCATTTAATTTGATAAGTGAGTCCAAACTGAATGAAAACTCGCGTAAATAGCGAAAAATGGCGATTTTTACTGGTTTCTTTCTTATTTTTCGTTGAACTTTCAACCAATTTTCATGAAAATTAACAATTGCTTTATAAATGTATCCTCTTTTACATCCCTCATAGCACACTGACAAATTGAATTTCAAAAATAAAATAATTGTGGTCTGAAGTGGGTTTTCATGTTGCCTGTTTCACCCTTCATATCCTCGGTTAACTTCGATTGAATAAATAAAGGCAACTTCTGTTATATCAGTAACTGTATTAATTCAAAATGTTTTTAATGACAGTACTTTAAAGTAATTGAATAAGATAGATTCTGTTACATCTAAACATGATGCTGTTTTTGCTCCATTCTAATTGGACGCTTTTTCTGATGGACCAGGTGGGCATGGCTGCTAGTATATATATATATATATATATATATATATATATAATTGCTAACCCCGCCTGACATGTTGATATACGAAATATTGGAGTCGGCCTCATGAATATAACATACAATACAACTTAGAAAGTGTTTTGGATATGAGCCTTGTACTATTCAATCAACATTGGAGTTGGCTGACAGAGTCAGTATTGATTAGTCAACTTATAAGATATGGCTCTTTTCTATTTCCTTTTAGCAACAATTCCTAATTTTTCTGTCTTTATTTTTTTCCTTTCCGCTTTGTCGATGTGTTTTGAAACTATTCCTTTTCTCCTTTTTAATCTTTTGTTAATAATTTCAAATCCTCTTTTTTTATCCCATTTCTTATTTCTGTTTCTTCCTTATCCATTGCCACTGTTCATTTCATCCTTTCTCTCATTTTCTCTCTTTTTTTCTCAGTAGCTTTTGCTCTTTCGAAACCATTCATTGCTTCTTTCTCTTCCATTAACTCACTTCTTGCTGAGTCACTTCCTTTTCCTTTATTCCTTTTCTACCTGCTTGATTGTTCAGTCTTTTATGTCTCATATAAAAAGCTTTCTCAAATTATCTCCTCTTAGTAGAACTCTTACTATTAAAGTAAAACCGTGAAAGCAATTTTGTCGCGTCAGCCATTAGTCAGTAATACATGCATTTGATGGTATTAATTGTCGCAGGACACTTTTTAAAAGCCTTGCACAGCAGATATGTTGTTGCCCATCCAATTAAACGTCTGGCTTCACGATAAAACGATTTCTACAAGGAGACAAATGAGCCGGATTTTTATTTGACTATTCTTGGCTTGAATTTTGTAATACATTTAAGAAGAGATTATCTCAGTTTTTAAAAACCGTCTAATATACTAACGAATTAGATAGTAAATTTCCTTCATGAGAGAGAGGGGGGGAGACAGACAGACAGACAGACAGACAGACCTCTTTCATCGCAACAGCATAGCATTATGTAAATAATTTTAATTTAGAATTCAAATATAAAATGCAAGTTTAACTGAACACATTCGGAAGTTATTCTATTAAATATTGTTCTAATATTCTGCTTTCTGTGAAGAATTTGGGCATATATTATCGAATGTCTTATGAAAGCTTTCAACTTTGATAAAAACAATTATTTGCTTTTTTAATCATTTCACTGAAAGCAAGTTAATAAATGCACTAAGATGCAATGAGATTACTGAGTGAGGGAGAATATGAGAAAAAGAAAACATTATTAAGTAGCGAAAACAATAAAAGAACAGGAATTAAGATTACAGAATAAAACGATGGATATTGTATTTAATTTAAAAAAAATCAAACTTGACTGAAAAGCAAGAAGCTGGAAGAAAGTTCCACAAGCGAAAAATGCGATTGAAGAAACTGTTAGCATAGAACTTACGGTACTGCTCTTAAATTCATAAAGTCTAGGTACCAAAGAGGTAAAGACATTAGATCAATTTTCATTATTATGCCACACTTTTTAAAAGATTTTTCTTTCTTTCTAGATTTGTCTTTAATTTACTTTAGTTTTTATCCATTTTCTTTTTCCTTTCCTTCCATTTTTATATCTTCCTTCATAGTCTAATTTTCTTTCTTTTTTATTGTTTTTTCTCGTTTTTTACGCTTCTCTTCATTTACGTTGTTTCTTTCTAATGCTTTTCTTCTTCTTCTTCTTCTTCTTCTTCTTCTTCTTCTTCTTCTTCTTCTTCTTAATTTTTTACACATAGCTTGGACCCTAACAGGTGCTACCACCCCCGGTCAGGGTGGACCTGGGAACACCAGCAATTAAGAGGTGGTTCCACACTCCTCTAAACCTCTTGATCAGAGTCCTTGCTGTTAGATGCAGTTTATCGTCTTACCCAGGACGTGGATGTAGTTTATCGTTTTACCTAGGACGTGGACGTAGTTTATCGTCATACCCTGGACGCGGATGTAGCTTATCGTCTTATCCAGGACAGAGATGTAGTTTAGCGTCATATCCAGGACTCGGATGTAGTTTATTGTCTTATCCAGGACGTGGATGTAGATTATCATCATGTCCATAACGGCCAAATAAATGGACAAGAAAAGAGACAAATACTTAGAGAAAATGGTTAAAATATTACAGATCGACGATGTGAGAGATGTAGAATGGTAAGAAATTAGCAACCGTGTGCTTTGATTCTATGGTTTTAAGTTCTGTCTCCGGTAATCGCAAAGGTCTAAAAAGATTTTTGAAACATATCTCTCTCAAAGTGACTTCAACATTTCATGCTCAAGGGTTAAATTTTGATAATTTCTCAAAAGTGTAAAAAAAAAAAGAGAAAAGTGATTAGAATATTTTCCCTTCCCAGCCGCAAAGAAGTGTGAATATTTAAATCAAATTTTAAATTTTTTCTCTTTAATAATTAAAACGGCAAATATTGATTTCTCATTGGTGACAGAAAATATTGACCTCGTCGTTGAAAAGAAATCGATGTTGATTGCATGAAACTCTTTCATTATCTGGCAAAAGTTTTTTAAAAAATACGAATATATAAAAGATGAATGTAACGCCGAAAAACATTCTCTAATATTAAATTACCATTAACTGCTATTAAAAGTTAATTAACATTAATTAACAATTTAACATTACTACTAATTAATATTTAATTAAAATAAACTACTTTTTCTAGACGAGACAAAATATGAATGAAAACAGAAATGATGAATGTCATTCCGTAAAGTATTCTTGTTGTTAACCAAAATTCTATTAAGAAATAAAAGTCCATGCTATTTTCGTTTATTTGGTCATATTAGCTCATATCGATACTAAGCTGACTTTAGTTTATTGCATGGCAAAATGAAAAAACAGTTTTGCGTTCCTGTACAGGTAAGGGCAACATTTTATATTATTGGTTTTCTGAATACGTTTTCTCCACTCGATAAGACAACTGCTAAATCCCTACTTTGATATTGTATGGAACATTGTAAATATCCATTTGAGTGCACACCGCACCTTGAAGCTAATATAGCAAATTCGAGACGTTTTACTTTCTCTTTAACCATGGTCTTATACTAGTTACACTAACGATTAGTACTCTTGGTGCACTGAGATATTTATCAAGCTAGTCACTTCAGTAATAATGTCATACCTCGATTTCTACCCAGACAGGTTCCTCGAAATACAATTTTAAACAAGGCAGGTTCCAAACGATTATATCTAATCAGTTGCTAAGTCTACTGCTAAAAGGGTTGGTTCAGTAGACCATTTTTCTCGCCAGAGTCTATCTTACACTTTTATAAGTACCGTTCGTCCGTGCATTGAATATTACTTCCATATCTGGTCTGGTGCTTCTACTATGTATTTAGAGATTCTTGATAAAATGCAAACAAGAATCTGCAATGTTATCAGTCCTGACCTGGCATCGCGGCTTCTATCATTTTCTCACCTCTGTAATGTAGCCTCTCTGTACTTTTCTATAAATACTTTCAAGGCTGTTGAAATTGCTAGATATAAATGTAAGTTTTTATGTTAATGTTTCGGTTTTGTACCAACTTGTGGTATTAGGGGAAACTACATCTACCGCAGCCTTTTCTGTCTTCAATTTCCTTCTCGCCTATATTAGATTTGCTGTAATTAATAAGGACAAAATTAAGCGATATGTGAGTGTCTCTATTTTTAAGTAGTGTCCTTATTTTTAAGTACTGAGATACGCTTTACTGTAAATACTTTAGACGTCTAGAGCACATAGTTAGTGGCTGAGATAGTTGCAGATCTCCTAGCGGTGCCATTGAGTGTTGATTGAGCTCTGTTAAAAGATTGCACTGTTTTTCAAGTAAACAGGCTCGTGTTGGTTAGAAGAATATCCAAGTATGTTCCTTATACGTCTGTCACTCCCATTTCATTTAGCCAATTAAAAAAATATTTTCCATTATTTATTTTCTTTGTTTTATTTTCAAAGAATACTATCTTAAGTTTTCTCTCCTGATACTTTGCCATCTTTGGTGAGCTAATCTTCGCCATATTCGGTGGTTTAATCTTTGCCATCTTCGGTGGTCTAACCTTTGTCATCTTCAGCGGTTCAATGTTTGCCATATTCGGTGATCTAACCTTTGCCATCTTCGGTTGTCTAACCATTACCATCTTCAGCGATTCAGCCTTTGCCATCTTCGGTGATGTAAACCATACCATCTTCGGTGGTCTAACCTTTGCCATCATCGCAGGTCTAACCTTTGCCATTTTTGGTCTTATAACCTTTGCCATTTTCAATGGTTTAAACTTTGCCATACTCGATTTTGAACCCCTTTCTCGAATGAAGTTTATAATATTTTCCGTTGTTTCAATAAATATCTCTCTTATTAGAATCATCTTTTCTTTTAATCGACAGCGGCTATGTTTCCTTTTAATTATCCACATACAACAAATCGTAATGAACATGAAACACATTTTTTAACTACAGATTCATTTGCATATTTAGATTTGTGATGCTATTTGTTTTCTAAATTAAGTTACAAATAACACTGTATCTATATTTCAAGACGCGTTTTGTTTCTACATGACCTGGAAGAAGTATGGCATTAATTTAAAAATTTTAATCAATGTATATTTCATGAAACCGGAATATTTATCAGTTAAATCTAGAAATGTTTGTTTTTGTTGTCCCGAAGTAAAAAAAAAAAAGAAAAAAAAAGCTAGGTGAAGTTTTATAAACGCCCATATTTAAAAGCAGGTTGGAATTCATGCCTAAATACAATAGCCTAACCAGGTAAGTTAGTCTTGTCGACTCGAAAATCTGATGTGTATTCCATTCCGTCTTATGTTAAATAGAATACATAGTTCATTTAGTTCATGTTAAATAGAATACATCGTCGACCATTTCGATGATCAATTGTATCGTGAGGCTGAAATCTGTGCCTGAAGAAAAGAACACAGACAGGAAGATGTTAGCCATTTATTTTTTTTTTTAAGCGTTTTGTTACAATATGTTTTCCTGACTTGAATATAGATATAGAATACATTTAACATATTTTTTTAAATTAGTATACATACATTTTGCCTCTAGTACTTGGAGTTTCAGGCATAATTATCGTCAGTCACTGACAGAAGAACATTGAAAGCTTTCGTGAGAGTTTTTTTTTAAATTTAAATGGCGTTTTGTTAGTTTCTTTTTTCACATTTGTCTGAAAACCTAGATTCAGCATAAACATGAGGTACATACGAATTTAATGAAGTGATCGATACACGAAATCGATTTGTATACGAATGTAGATATTTACTAAAATTTGTTGCCAAATTATTAGAGCTTTACCAATCTGACTGTAAGATTCGTCTTTGGAATCTAACCATACCATCTGAAAATATACCATCTGAATAAATACCATCTGAAAACTTAGCAGTTGAAAACTTTACCATCTTAATACATGCCATCTGAAAACATACCATGTCAAACCATGGTACCATCGGTTGACTAAAGTGTTGGGAGTGAAACAGTGTAGACGAAACCGTTCGAAGATAGCGATGATTGTGCTAATACACCCTTGTGCAAATTAATTATACAGGAAGATGTGGAGGGCCATGATCATCTACACCCTTGTGCAAATTAATTGAAGCAAAACGAATAATTCCCTTATTATATACTTTCTTTTTCGTATTTTTCCAATGAAACATGACCCAGTGGACATGTTAGTACTTCGTATGTCCACTCCCTGAAGTCGTTCCTTGCAGATTGACCACAGATTTTCGATTGGATTTAAAACAGGAGAGTTTCTCGGACAATCTATAGTACTTTCATTTGCGCACTGGTAAAGCCTGCCATTGTGTTTGTGCAATGTTACAAATTTTCGTACGCTTCCTTAGAGTAACGTCCATCGCAGACAATGGCCGTAAGACAATTAATCGACAGTTGAGACAACAGTGTCTGGGCGGAATGAAAATCTGATGCAATCACAGATGACGCAATATGTTTTCAAGGCCAAACAAATTTAAGCATACACCCCAAAAATAGATTCATATTACTGCACACCACTGAAAATGACGTAATCTGAGGAAAAAATAGAAATCGATTACACCCTGTCACTCCAGTGGGTCTAAAATTGACCGTATATTGAAAGAAAGGAAACTAAAGCGTTTGTTTCATTTAACTTGCACAAGGGTGAAGGTAGAGAATCTTGCGTAGCAATCTTTCTTGAGATGGTAACTCAATAAAGGAATCCCCAGCAGCCTGAACATCCGTGGGAATTCTAGACTCACTTGATTTGCCCAATGTACTGCAGCAGCCATTTCCGAAAACAAAACACACACACACACACATACATCAAATATTACAGAAATCAAGTCTTATGCAAATTTTTCAAGATTATCCGAGAAAATCAGCATTTGAAATCCTGGGTTCAAATACAGACCTCTGCTATCTGAGTTTAATTCTTAATATACCTGTTATATAACAAAATATTTGGCGGTTCAAGGTGTATCGCTGTGGAATACTAGTTAGCAAGTTAAACAAATATAAGCTCAATATATTCTCCCGTATTGTAGCCTTGAGCCAGACTGTTGCATCGATTTAGTTTGTTTTCCAACTGTAGAACAGTGGTTATTAAGCTAGTTTCGTAGACGGATTCACAAGCGTAGTGAGATCAGCTCCTGATGTGTGCAGTAGCCCTGAGCCTGACAAAAAAATCCCAGCTTATTAAATACCTACAACATATTATGAACCAACCATACCGTAATAGCTAGTGAACGTACGATCGGTCCTCTTTGGCGTACTCC